CATTGTTTCCGAGCCCATGCAAGTGGACTCTGCCGTCTCTGGACCCCTGACCGCCGAGGAGAAACAACGCCGCCGCCGCTTTGGACTCTGCCTGTACTGTGGCAAGAAGGGCCACTTGGTACGAAACTGCCCCGTCAAGTTTGGATCTACCAGAGCTACCGGACCGCCCCCTGGACCTCCCGGCCCGAGGATCATCCGCACCATCGTTTACGAAGATGGAGAAGTGCAAGACTTCAGTTCGGGAAACGACCAGGCCCGGTTCTAAGTGAAGGCCTTGAACCGGAGCCGTGCCCACCGCCTTCCGAAAGTGAAGACATTGGTAAGGTGCCTTTGGTAAGTACTGGGGAAGCAGTGATGTGCGGACAGCTTCGCCTTGCCTCTGGACCGGCGGACACTCTCAGCTCTGGCATAGTACCCGTGGCACCTCTGGTGTCACTGGGAACTGCACCTCATCCACAGGTGCAAATACCTGAGCTGTCCTGCCAACCCTCGGCAAAGTTAACTGTCTGTGCTAGCCGCAACCCTGGTGCCGAAGCTGGTACCGAACCAAAGTCTTGTGTTTCGTCTGTTCGTCGTTGCTCGTTGGTTGTTCCCGTCGCTGTTCGTCTTCCTTCTGGTGATTCTCTGTCGTGCGAAGGACTTGTCGATTCTGGTGCCTCTGGCAACTTTATCGACGAGGACTTTGTTGCTCGACACTCTGTCCCCACCTGCTCCAAGGCTTCGCCCTTGGCAGTGGAAGGCGTGGATGGTAAGCCGCTGTCGTCTGGCCCCATCCTCCGCGAGACTGCTCCACTCGAGGTGATTCTCGGGGACGTCTCGCAACGCCTTCGGTTCGATGTGATCAGGTCTCCACATCAACCACTTATCCTTGGCTTTCCTTGGTTGCGCACCGCCGAGCCCAAGATTGTCTGGTCTCGCGGTCTTCTTTGTCTCCCTCCTTCTGTTGATTCCGACCCCTCTCCATGCACTACTTCTCTTTCGTCTTGCTCCACTTCCTCCAATGTCACTCCCCTTCTTGATGATTCCACTCCTTTGATTGATCTAAGCTCCTCTCCTACGCTCCCACCTTCGTCTTCCCCTTCTTGTCTTGTTCCTCCCGAACCCCTTCGCTCTTCCCAAACCCCTTCTTCTGTTGTCAGTTCTCTTTCCCTCCTTGATGTACCTCCTCCTGTTGTTTGTTCTTCGGACATTGTTCAGAATAAAGTAACCGTCGAACATTATTCTGACCTTGTCCACGCCCCTCCTCTCAGCTCGGACGCTCCTCTCCGCGTCTGCAGCATTGATTACCGCTCGATGCGCGAGTCTTTGGATGCATGCAGGCATGGAACGCAACCCCTGACCATCTTTCAGGTCCATGTCCTGCCCACTGACGAGCCGAGCACTGCGACTGTCGAAGTGCCTGCGGAGTACAAGGACTTCCTGTCTGTTTTCTCTAAACAGGAAGCTGACTCCTTGCCTCCGCATCGCCCTTATGACTGCCCCATTGACTTGGAGCCGGGCAAGTCGCCAAAGTTCGGGCCTCTGTACTCACTGTCCGAGCCCGAACTTCACGCTCTGCGTGACTATCTCGACGAGAATCTTGCCAAGGGATTCGTTCGTCCTTCGTCGTCCCCAGCAGGCTCACCAATCCTCTTCGTCAAGAAGAAGGACGGCTCACTTCGTCTTTGCGTTGACTACCGCGCACTGAACGGTATCACGGTAAAGAACCGTTACCCTTTACCGCTGATCGGCGAGCTGCTGGACCGACTTCGAGGCGCGAAGGTGTTCACTAAGCTGGACCTTCGTGGAGCCTACAATCTGCTGCGCATCCGCTCCGGGGACGAGTGGAAGACAGCTTTCCGTACTCGATATGGGCACTTCGAGTACTTGGTGATGCCCTTTGGGCTCACCAACGCGCCAGCGACGTTCCAGCACTTCATCAACGACGTCCTGCGCACCGAGTTGGACCAGTTCGCAATTGCGTATCTTGACGATATCTTGATCTACAGTGCTGATCCGTCGCAGCATGTAGAGCACGTCAAGCAGGTCCTCTCGAAGCTCCGAGCTGCAAAGCTGTATTGCAAGCTGGAGAAGTGCGAGTTCTCCAAAACCTCGGTCTCGTTCCTTGGTTTCATGGTCTCGCCCGAGGGCATCGGTATGGAGCGATCCAAGCTCTCTGCGATCTTGGATTGGCCCATACCGCGCAACATCTCGGATCTTCGATCCTTTGTCGGGTTTGCGAACTTCTATCGACGCTTCATCGATGGATACGCAAAGATCGCGGGGCCCATGACTCGGCTCTTCCGGAAGACGCATGGCTTCCAGTGGTCCCGCGAAGCCGATAAAGCATTCAGATCCTTGAAGGATGCCTTCGTTTCGGAGCCCGTTCTGGTGCATCCGGACCCATCCAAGCCGTTCGTCGTAGAGTCAGATGCGTCGGACTTTGCGCTTGGATGCGTGCTCTCCCAGCGGGGTGCTGATGATCGCCTTCATCCTTGCTCGTTCCATTCGCGGACACTCTCGAATGCTGAACGTAACTACAGCATATACGAGAAAGAGCTGTTGGCGATCAAGGAGGCTTTCGAGGCGTGGCGACACTACCTCGAAGGCGCCCAGCATCCCGTTGCCGTTCTGACCGATCACAAGAACTTGGAGTACCTGGCAACGGCTCGCATCCTAAACCAGCGTCATGCACGGTGGTCCCAGTTCTTGTCTCGGTTCGACATCCGCATCCAGTACCGTCCTGGTGCGAGGAACGGCAAGGCCGATGCCCTGTCTCGTCGCTCGGACTACATCCCTTCGTCGGCCTCCGTGTCGAGGGATCCGCCTCTGCTTCTCGATCCTGCCGCGGTGATACGCGTGCTCCGAAGCAGAGACGCCCGCTCTTCGGTTGCAAGTCGCAGTGACCCTGTGGATTTGCTGCAGCTCATAGCCGAAGAGCAGGCTCGGGATCCCGGTCTAGACAAATACCGTCGTGACCCGAAGTTCGTCTGGAATGGCCAGTACCTCACCTTCCAGAACAGGATTGTGGTCCCAGAGTCGTGCCGAGTTCCGGCGCTCAAGTCGTGCCATGACCCAGTCGCTGTGGGTCATCCAGGCATCCGACGGACTCTGGCTCTGGTATCGCGACAGTTTTGGTGGCAAACCTATCGGAAAGATGTCAAAGAGTACGTCTCGACGTGCGACACCTGTGCACGCTCGAAAGCTCCGCGACACAAGCCGTTTGGGTTCCTGTTGCCACTCCAGACAGCCGATCGACCCTGGGGGACACTGACCATGGACTTTATCACTGATCTGCCAAAGTCCAAGGGTCACACCTGCATCTTTGTGGTGGTATGCAGCCTCACAAAGATGGCACACTTTATGTCCTGGCGTTCACTGCCGTCGGCGGAGGAGACTGCGTCACTGTTCCTCGACAATGTCTTTCGTCTCCATGGCCTCCCCGACACAGTGGTTTCAGACCGAGGAAGTCAGTTCACCTCTCGGTTCTGGAAGGCACTCTGCACGCAGCTCGGGATCCAAACCAGTCTGTCCACGGCCTTCCATCCCCAGACCGATGGACAGACTGAGAGGGTCAACCAGGTCATCAACCAATACCTGCGCTGTTACACGTCGTATCAGCAAGATGACTGGGCCGAGCTGCTGCCGTTGGCCGAGTTCTCTTACAATAACCTCGAGAACTCGTCAACACATGCCTCGCCATTCTTGGCAACCTATGGGTTCCACCCAAGGTTCGAAGTCCCCGTTGTCGCTGGCGGCCCTGATGTTCCCTCTGCCACGGAGAGGGTTGAACATCTCCAGCGGAACCTGGCACTGTTGAAGGAGAATCTTGAGAAGGCAAAGTCTGACTACAAGCACTTCTCAGATCTCCGGAGGTCCCAGGCTCCCGACTTGCGTCCGGGCGATCAAGTCTGGGTGCTGACTCGTAACATCAGCACCACTCGCCCAAGCAAGAAGCTGGATTACCAGAGGATTGGACCATTCACCATCCTCGAGGCCGTCGGGACATTGGCTTTCCGCCTGGACTTGCCAAAGGACATAAAGGTGCACCCGGTGTTCCATGTGTCTCTTCTTGAGCCCTACAAGAAGAACTCGCTTCCGGGTCGGGTGCAAGCGCCGCCCCCTGCGGTGGTCATCGATGGGAACTTGGAGTGGGAGGTCGAAGAGATCTTAGACTCCAAGTTCGTGCGCGGAAAGCTGCACTATCTCATCGATTGGAAAGGCTACCCGGTCACCGATCGAAGTTGGGAGCCCGCCGACATTGTCTTTGCCCCAACGGTGGCCGCGGAGTACCACCGACGCTACCCAGACAAGCCTGGCCCCAGGAGAACTCAAGATGGAACACGCCGTAGTTTAAGGAGGAGATAGTGTGATGACCAGCATCACAACGGACCAATGAGATTGTCCCGCATGCTCTCGCCCTCCGCACCAATCATGAGTCCCCACGTGTTTGTTTGCCCCCATGCATGAGCACGCGCCGTTGCCACCCGCGTCTACTGGTTTCCTGCCTCCCCCACCGCTCGGCACATGTCCCCGGGCTGTGCCAAGCCTCTCTCGCTTGCACACCAGCCACTCTCGCACCCCCTTCTCGCTTCTCTGTGATGCTCCACCCTTCTCGCCCACTTTTGCCCCTCGACCTTCTCCCGGTCTATAAATAGCCCTGCATGTCTGAGCCTATGTTGAACACCAGTTCGAACAAAACTTGTTCTTTGGTGTTCGGGGCTAAAAGCTAATAAAGCTCATACCAAGCACTTGGTCTTCGTCCTTGCGCTTGTTCACTCCTTACACCCACCGACTCCATCTGGTGTGCGGATGACCTCGTTGCAGAGGCCTCGGCGTCTTGTCCCGCCGGGCGGATGACCGCCTGCCAGCTCGCTCGCCGCCACGCACAGGCTGCAGCCGCCTCAGTCCCTCCTGCCCGATCCCCCCCCCCAAAGAGACACTCTGCCGACACAAACTCTGCCCGATCGCCCTCCTCGGTGATTGGTCCTATCCCCGCCACCTCCCGTCATTGCCCCGTCATGGCGCCGGCCTTGCCTGTGCTCCTCTGGCCGCGCGTCCCCAAACCCGCCTGGCTCGGCATGTTTGGGATCATACGGGCCCTCGATGAGATCATGTTGTTGTCACAGCCGCAATGCCGCTCTGCGGCGCTTGTTGTGCGTCACCCTCTTCCTCCTCCGAGCACTTAAAGCCTCTGGCCTTCGCCCTCCCGCCGCACTCCTTCGAGCTGCCGCTCTTCGTTTCGTCTGCCCATCAGTATCTCTGCTCCACCGCATCAGTGTCGCTCCTTCTTTTACTCAATAAACCCGGCTCGAACTCGCCGCATCAGCCCTCCCGCCATGGTCGAGCATGCTCTCCGTCTGCAGCAGCCAGCTGCCGTCTCCTGGCTCGCTGCCCTCGACAATTTGTCTGTGCCTGACCTGGACGGCGCTGCCCTGGTCAAGTGGGCGGCCAAGTATCGTCCTGCCCTGGCCTCGCTTCTCTTGGTCGACCACCACCACCACCACCACCACCACCATGTTCCGCTGTCGCCAACCCCTGCTTGTCGCGACGCACACCGCCCTCGCGCGTCCTCTGACGTCAGTGGCGAACTCGATGGCCAAATCATTGCCGCTGCCCTGTTTGAGTCTCTTGCCTCAGCCGACGAGCTGCCGCTCCAGATCCAGTCATCGTCGCCATCGCTGGACACTCTCAAGGCCCGACTTCATCGCCTCGCCCATCCATCCAAAACCAAATCTCACCATCCAAACAGCCACAACCACAACCACAACTACCACCTCCACAACTACCACCTCCACCACTCCGGACACTCGTCCCATGCCTCGCCCAAGTACCCGCTTCGGCCGTCTCGAGCAAGAAGACTCTCGTTTTCAAAACGGCTGACTCGGTTCCATCGCCGACGGCTTTCGCAGCCCCATGTCGACGTGCAGCCAGACTCGCAGCAATCACCCAGCGTCCGTCCATCACCGGTCGAGCCTGGATCATCCGCCTGTCAACTGACCCAATCGTCTGGCTGCTCCGACAGCCAGCCCGCCCGGCTCCACTCTGATGGTAAGGTCTCCCTCCTCCTCCAGCCGGGCCCCTGTCTGCACTGCTGATGAGCTCGCTCTGGCGACAGCCATCTCCCTCTCCGCCATGAACGCCGCGGTGACATGCGTCGGACACGCTCATAAAGCCTGTCCCAAGCGCCGGTCTCCCTGGAAGTGGGGCTCCCAGCAGAGCGCTAACACTCTCCCCCTCCCCGCCATGATCTGCCCTCGCACAGATGCGTCTCTCCCGCCCCGCTCCCATAGATCCTCCACCCGTCTGCCTCCGGAGCTCTGGCACCGCGTCTTCCAGTTTGTCTATCAGCAAAGCCAGGACCGCGAGTCCATCCAGGCCACCCTGGCCATGCTCTGCCAGGTCAGCCGCCTGTTTTACCAAACGGCGACGCGGTTTCTATGGCACAATCCGATCTTGCAGTCCAACGAGCTGCTCAACGCATTCCTTGGGATCTGTCGATCAGGGTCGCTTGCACATGTATCGCCCAGCAATCACCCCGCCCGCTTTGTGCGCATCCTGGATCTGTCGGCCCAGTTCCTGTCGT